TCTTCTTCTTCTTCTTCTTCTTCTTCTTCTTCTTCTTCTCTCTGGCTGTTGACTCCATCCAATTCCTTGTCCTTCCATTGTGTTGTGTTCCAGCTATTGCCAGTTGATGGTTCATGAGATGCACCTTCGTTAGGGAAAGTCAAGATTCACCTGGGAGCAATTTACCAATTCAGGACAGATTTAGAAAAAAAGTCTAATGGAAATGTATAGAAATATGCTTGTCATATTATGACAACTTGTTCAACCATTTTGCATTTAACGACTTATACGATGAACTAATGACTAGATGTTTTGAGGGGTAAGACTATTGCACAGTGAACTATATAATTTTGATCAACATGACATAAACAATCGATAATGTAGGAAACAGCAGAGAATTGTACATAATCATTTGCACGGATGTACCAAAGCATTTGCAACTTCTTCAGACAAATTAGAAACTGCTTTTTTGATGTGCACAAGTGACACAATGATGTGAAGATTGAACAGGTAGTTTTGAGAATTTCAATTCTGATCTGAGAAATGTACCAAAGTGACTGAGAAAACTGTAATTGCATTAATGTCAGGTTTGGGCTTACATAACAAGCCTAAACAAAAGTTACACTCGTGATTTGTTTGACATACAAAACCAGAGAGTGTCTGGCCAAAAGGTAATTGTCTGTATTTATTTTAAAGTCAGTGGTTTCCTCCCACAGGTCAAAGAGGTCTAGGCCAGGTGAACTATGTGAAATCTGCTGTTACAGTCCTGTGACAGACTAGTGACCTGTCCAGGATGCAGAGACAGACTCCAGCTGACCCTGTGACTGTGCAGATTAATATGGAGTTACATACACTGGATAATTTTTTGACTTATACAATATTAAAAGAAAACACAGAAAACACCGGAACCATTCTGAGCTACAAAAAATAAACAATGCTAAGACGTCCAAATGATTTATATTTACTGACCCCATAACTTTTAAAATGTGTCTTGGTGTCTCAGTTTTCTTTAATATTAAGTTATAGTTTAGGCTTTTGCTTCCATAGACATTAGTAAGCCTAGTTCAGTCTACTTTCAAATTTCAATAAACTAAGTACCTTTTTAAGCTGAAAGTCTACATGGTATTGCCAATGAGACATAGATAGGATCTGGAAGCTTAAAATGTTTTGAAAAATGAAACAACCATGCTCTAATATGATATCAGACATGGTGGCTTCATAAGACTTTTCATGCCTTTATTTATTCAAGGCTGTATGCCCTCCATTCACAAAGATACAGCTAATGTAACATATCAAACAAAAACTCCACAAGTCAGAGTCAGACAGTAATCCACTCCTTTCATTGGACTGTTCATTAAAGCAAATTGTTTTCAGTGGGTTTGTGCATAGGTTGGCATTTTATATATAATTCTAATACATGCAAAAACGGCTTGCAGTTATGACATACTTGTTATATATCTAAGTATTTTGCATGAATACACTGTATTTGCACATGCTGTGATACACCCATACTGTGAAAACAAATAACTGATTCATGGCAGTGAGGTAGACGTATAACGCGTTTACGTCATAAGTCTGCGCCACGTCTGTCTTCTTCTAGTCAATGACAATTTGTGTATTTTTTTTTATACGTTTCTGTTAACACGGGTAGTTAAACCATTAACTACAATGCAAAGAGCCATACATAGAGCCTTAAATAATTGGTCTCAGTCTATCGGTCCAGCGATGGCTCGCCAGTCCTCAAAATGCAGAGGTAAGTCGTGTGTTTGTAGGTTTCTGCCAGCGGTGTCAGCCAAAAGCTATTGCTAAAGTGCTAAGATGCTAAAAACAAGTACGGTATCTGACTTGCTCGGGATTTAGCTGCAGGTGTAACGTTACTGTTCTCTCAGTTATTGTTGCAAACAGTCCGTTCCTGGCTTAACAGGAACATTACAGTAATGTTTTCCCTTGTTTTGTCAGCTAAATAATAGTTTAGCTACTGGTACGTTGAACAGTTTTGTCAAAATGTTCAGGATTTTTTATTTTAAATATAAAATGGTCTAATGTTACACTTGAAACTGATATAATGTCGTGGTTTTTCTGGTTGCAAAGTATTAGTCTCTGTTGAGAACAGACTTTGCTGTTTCTTGAAGCAGCCAAATGTGTTGCGTTCATTGCAGCTACATTTTTATTATTGTATTGTAACAGTGGCCCTGCAGCAGAGCGCACGTGCTTACAGCGTAGTACCGCCTCCGCGTGACAGTGACGAGCAAGAGATGCTGCACCGAATGCTGCGCGTGGACCATGCTGGTGAATATGGTGCCAACCGCATCTACGCCGGCCAGATGGCAGTGTTAGGTCGATCCAGGACTGGACCTGTCATACAGGTATGGACATAGTGCAACACGTGGCTTTAAAGTGGGAGAGAAAATAGTGCATCATTATCCTTTAACCTGCACTAGAAGACACTCTACACATATCGAAATATGTCTTAAGTGATCTGAAATCCTGTGAACTACACACAGAACAATGTTACTAACGTGGCTGGTGAATACTGAATGATCTTAATGGACAAGATCACAAAATTCACAAGTTTCTGCTGTGCAGAAATATGGAATTGACTCTTTAACCTTTGATGGTCCCTTCTTGTAGGAGTTTCTTGTCAGAGTTTTAGACAGAACGGCAGTACAGGCCATCTGTAAGATATGGGGTGTTTTCAACTAAAAATCTTTAAAAATTTTCAGCACTGCATGTACATGTTTGTTTGCCTTTAGGAAATGTGGGATCATGAGAAGCAGCACCTTGAGAAATTCAATGAAATCCTGGCTGAGAACAGAGTTCGGCCCACAGCATTGTTACCCTTCTGGAACATTACTGGATTTTTATTAGGTTGGTACATTCCATTAAAGCTGGGCACACACTTGATGACTGGCTAAAACCTGAGACTGATCAAATGTTGTGGACAACACACTTGACTGTCTGGAAGCTCTGGCAGCAGAAGAAGCCTGTAAACCCCACAAGATCATGCCAATTCTCACGTGTCCTCGTACCAAAACAAATATGGACTCAACCAGCTTGCATGATTTATATCTATTGTACACTTCATTTTGTGCTGAAAATAACAAAAAAGAGGAAAAAAGTGCAGAGTGGGTGAGATCCTGGATGGAGATATGTGAAAATGTAGACTGTACAACTACAGCGGGAACTGAAATGTATCAGTCCTGTTGTGGTATGTTTGAATTAAGTTAATGTTGTAGAGGCATTTATTCTCCTGCCACATGCCAGCCGTTTTTCCTCCACTTATTTGTCCAGTGCACTTTGACACTACAGTCCTTTTTAATCACCATTCTTGAACCTTTACAGTCTTTTATTTATTTCCCTCATGTGTTTCCCTCAGGCGACACATACTATATGTGATGTCATGGATCGCTGATGCCAGTCATAAATATTGAACATGTATTAAAAAATCTTTATAGAAAGGACTGGCAGTGACTGGTTCTTAAGGCTTAAGGTTAGAATTGTTACATGGCACACACTACGCGATTTTATCTGCTAACTGTCAACAACGACTGACCCAGACTAAGCCTGACTTGGTCCAACTGGGTCCAATCAGTCATCGCATCCAAATACCATTCGTAATCGGCACAGCAGTCGTGAAGTGTGTGCCCATCTTAACCTGCAAAAGAGGTTATAAAATCGGAAGGTAGCATACTTTAAATAACAAAACATGCATAATGACTTTGAATAATAATTTTGATACACTGTTGGACTAGGATTCATTGTAATGTAGTTTGGTCTGGTTTGTTTTATTATCATACTGCAACTTGTGTAAAGTCAGACTTGTGTCTGCTGTTGGAGAATGCTAAATTGTATTTGTCTTCATGTTGAATGTTGTAACCAGCAAATTTGAACTTGAACAACTAGCAAGTGTGTGAACACTGCACTGTATGTTGCAGAGATTCAATGTCATTTCAGTAATTACTCTGCTGAAGTTTTTTCTCTAGTCAGGTGTTGATCGTAACTGTGTATTTCTCTTGTTTTAAATGTTTGCCAGGGGCATCCACTGCTCTGCTGGGAAAAGAGGGGGCCATGGCCTGCACTGTGGCGGTGGAAGAAAGTATCTCAGAACACTACAACAGCCAGATAAGAGCTCTGATGGAGAAGGACCCAGAGAGATACACTGAACTATTACAAGTGAGCCAACTGCTGTTTTCTTTGCAGCTTTGTCACTTAATATTGTATTATTAATGATTTAAGTCCTGGTTGATTTGGTAACAGGAAGTGTAGATAATACTACAGTAGACACTCCCTGAGCACCTATTTTGTAAGAACTACAACAAGACAGTAACCAGTTTATCTGCTGACTGTGCAGCCATGTTGTTTTAGAAAAGAAATAGTCACTAACGGACCTGTTTTCATCAAGTCATGCAGTGTGAATGGGTCTGACTCTTTTTGTTTTAAAGTTTTGTTGCAATTTTTAATTTGTTACAGTATTAATTTGTACACATCACAGCACATAACTAAGTCCCCAGGCAGCGGATTTGGAATGTTATCATTGGTAAATAGGGCTGCCACACACGCTGTCAGAGCTCAAGAGTGAGAATGCCAAGATTTTCCCCACACCTCTCTCAATATTTTCCTGTCAAACCAGTACTTAGCAGATGAAGCTAGACCTCCTTTGATACAGGGTCTTCAAAGAGTGTTGCATCTGTTGTGGTGCCTGATTATATTACATAAAACATTTTACCTTTGTGACTTATTGAGTTGCAATTACTTTGTGTAACCAGTATGTCACTTTTGGAACAGTGAACACAAGTCAGCCACATCAATATATATGACCTACAGACATACAGTACAGGAAGTTCAAGAAGCTGGTGCCCTGGTAAGGGCAAACACTCGGTCATTGGTGAAATTTCATTCTCAACCCTGTCAAAACAACTTGAGACTTTTGTCTTGTTAAGGCTGCGCTGATGGAGTGAATTCAATAAATGGTTTGGGGTATATTTTAATAGGTAATAAAGGAATTCAGGGATGATGAAATGGACCATCATGATACAGCACTGGAGCATGATGCTGAATCAGTAAGTATACTTTATAATCTTGGTTAATACTTGTCTTGCTCTGCTTGGTGTTTCTTAAATGCCATTTAGCTTACTGAGATTTTACTTATCAAGGAAATGAACAAATCTTACTTTTACTGTAGAGTCCACACAAACGTTTTGTGTGACAAGAAAATGCAACACCCAGCTGTGTTTTAACGCACAGGGCCGCATTGGCCGGGAGGTGAGGGGTTGCAAAGGGAGTGTTGTAGGCGTGTATGATACAGCCGTGTTGTGATGAGATGACGTGAGTGGCTTCATTCACGTTTCCAGCTCATGAGTTTATGTTGTGTTTTGGTTAGCCATGCTGCTAATGTAGCCTACTCTACCTTGGCACCAATTCTACCACTGGTGTTTTGGCATCGATAGATAAAACAGTTTAACATCCAACACTAGCGATAATGCATGGAATGTCATTATGGTGTGTTAATTGTGGCCCAAGTTCAATAGTGAATAGCAGTGAATGCTTATGCTAACAAGGTAAACAAAAAAAAAAATGCTTCCCAGGGCATCCACATCTCCAGTCGTCCCCCGTATGTGATTGGTCAAAGCAGTGCCTTTGCCAGATGATGTCACCGTTTGCTGCGGTGCGGTCAGGGTGAAAATAGCGTAGACGGTCACACACAGCTTCAGTTAGAAGTTCATGCATAGTTCATGCACAGTTACAGTATGTCTGAAGAGACTGATGTGTGATCATAGAGGAGAGAAACCAGTCAGTTTGTGGCAAAACCTTTCACAATGCCTGCATATTGTCTTTTACTACATATGATAAGTCATACTTTGAAAGTAGAACTAAAGTCATAACAATATAGACAATAAAGACCTTTCAAAATGCATCTGCATTGTTTTGCATTTTCTGACTTTAAGACGATTAAAACACAATTTTTATGGTGATATATTTCGTCATTGAAGATTTAAGAATAATATTAAAATATCGTCTTGTGTCATTCTTTTGAACCATATACCGTGCATTGTGAGCCAAGTGTATCATCACACCCCTAATGCTTTGATATCACAAGAAGTTGACACTCTTCATTTATAAAAATAACTTTTCTGCCTTGCAGATTTTACTGAATGTCATGTCAACTGCTGTGGTCTAAATTTGATTGATTGTTTTTCTTTTGTTTTAGCTACCTGGATACTGGTTCCTAAAAAATGCAGTGCAACTGGGCTGCAAGGCTGCAATATATATTTCTCAGCGTGTCTAAGTCTGTGTGCACAATAATCAAATTGTTCAAATATTTGTTTTGATATCTTGTCTCAGTTTTTGTAAATGAGTTAATTTCTGTTCTATTGTTTAAAAAAAAAGCAATAAAAGTACCTTGTAATAGGATAATCACCTTTTTTGGCCAAATATGTTACACACAAAGAATTTGTTTCCGGTACAGAACTGATGGCAGCCATCTGCGGCGCTACCTCAACTGATGGCTCTAACCATCGGGGGCAACAGGGGGGGTTCAGTGTTTTCCCCAAGGACACTTCGACACATGGACTGCAGGCACCGAGATTCAAACCTTCAACCTTCTGGTTGGGAGACGACTGCTCTACCCACCGCACCACTGTCGCCTCCCCCTCACAACACTTTGTACCTTTGCTAGATTAAAAGTACTGTGTACAAGCGTTCACTGTTTTCTAAAGGCATATGAACCTGATTGCTTTGTACACTTTTAATTTAATACATGGACTGTTTAGATGCATGGAAGGGATCATTCCTGAAATAGATGGCACATTTCTACACTCTTGAGAGTGTAAAGGATTTGATTTGTTGTTGCAGTAGTTCTCTCACTGCCTGCTTGATAAGTGATGTTGGTGCAAAAACTGGCGGGACAGCTGCTTGTAAATTAAGATGAGCTGAGTTTACAGAATATTTTCCTACACCTTTTAATGTTCTCATTGTGCCTTCAGGTGCAGCAATGGGCAGTGATTACCCATGCTTAAAGATCTTATGCTTGCCTTTGACCAGCAGATAAATACCTAAAATACAAATGATAAGGATATATTGATACTAGCATACCCATGCCACCATACCTTTCAACAAACTCTCCTCTTTCACATGTAGTAGTGCATATATATCATGCTGAGCAATGACTTGTCATCCTGGCCTAACTGCTAAGCGTTCTCACACAGCTGTTATGGGTACATTAGGTCACTGAGAAAGAAGGACTGACAAGAGGCTTGTCCAGGGGCCCCTAATCTATTAGGCCTTTCATCAGTTTGAGCAAAGTGTTCATTCCCTTCTTAGTGAATATCAGTTTGTCCTCATTTTACATTGAGTACTGACCTGAGGCATCATTACCCATGCTTTAGCCTTTTCAAGCAAAGGAGACATGATGATACAGTGATTTATGGTCGGGGTGGGGGCTGATAGGACTTAAGTGAAATACTGTGATGGTAATGTGTCTCTTGGCTCTAGCAGGGAGGAAGGATGGGTAAATGGCAAGTTTCACACTTTATAATATGCATACATGAATTTGGTTTGTAAATTAAAGGAAATACCAGCATATGGTACAGTGTCCTAGCAAGGACTTGGGCCACCGCAAACTGCCAGGACATCCTCATTGTAGTCTGCGGAACTCAACCGCCTTTTTTCAAAAAACTAGAACTACCGCTTGTTGTATACCTCCACCATCCAGTCAAATTTACATGAATGAAACAGGTGTGAGGTCACTGACCTTTGAGCATCAAAAGCTTATCAGTTCATTCCAAGTGAATGTTTATGCCAAATCTGAAGAAATGTTCTTAAGGTGTTCCTGACATATCGTGTTCACAAGAATGGGTATGGACGGAGGGACGGACAACCCAATTCTTGTGAAAGTGATACTGTATGTCAGGAACAGCTTGAGAGAAGCTGTACTTAGTGTTGTGATAAACTGAGCATGCAAACTCACCTGCTAAACAGCAGCATGTCAGCATAATGAAATTAGCATTTACACCAAAGTGCAGGCTGCTAGCTTGACTGTCTTGTTGTCAGTTAATTTTTTAATGCAGTCCTGCATGGTCCTCACACTAAGAATTGCCTTTTAATGTCCAGCATCATTACAAACATTGTTGGGACGGGGTTTAATTTAAGCTTTTACTCGGACTGTTAGACACTAAAGAACTTATATTCTTCTTGAAACCTAGCTGAAATTAAACCCAACCCTAAATGTTTGTGAAGGCAGTCTATTTTTCTGGCCTGTTAAGGGTTAATAACATGATTACAGGCTGCTTAGCATTTTTGCACATCACAAAATGGTGATCAGTAAATCAAATATCATCAGTTCAACTGTATGACGGTTGCATAGTGGCTACCTCACTCCTTTTCTACCAATTCTTTTAACTCCTTTTATTATTATTTGTACTAGCAATTTTCAAATTGGTTATTTTTGCTGATCCCAAAAGGTATTAGGATCCCTATGTGTTGCAGCAAAGCTTATTACTTGTTTAAATTATAGAAGCATTCTCACTATCTGATTTACAGAAGATTTAATTATATAATAAACTAATTTGTTTTGAAGCGACATGGATCGAAAAAGCACAAAACTCATTTTAACAATTGAAGGAGATCACCCAATTTATATAAGCAACATGAGACAATGGGTAGCTTTGAAAATTAAAAGTAGGCCATCATTCATTATCTCTGCCCCAGATTAATTGTGCTGACAGTTTTATAGCAAGGTGTAACTGTTTAAATAAAGCTATACATGTATAGCTCCATCTGTAGCACCATCTTGGGTGATGAAATTACTGATAAATAGAAACAGGAGTGATGGCACTGTTAATAATTGTAAACCACCAACTCTGTTGGTTGCCATGTATGACTATAGATATATTGTAATACATGGTAATGTACAATATAATACCTATATGTAATACTTTTTCACAAAAAAGCTGCTTCTGCATCCGTCTATGACTGTCAGCAGTTCATGTGAATTGTTCAGGTTCTTTTCTCAGAATCACATCCAAAGGAATCCGCTGAAACACTGACTGAGAAACTGGCAACAAGAATTTGAAGAGGGCAATAAAACTTAACTGGGACTGGTTTGCTACCCGTGAATAATCATGGCTGTAAATTTAGTGCAGCACGAATAATACAAATCCCTGTAAATTATAAAAGCTTTCGGATACAGATTGTATTGCTTTTTAGATTCATGCAGAGTGTCAGTCAGCAGGCTTTTCTGGGGTTTATAGTAACTAATATATGACATCAGGTTCATCTGTAGCAGTGAAGAGCCATGGATAATTGAGTAGGTATTGTTTCATTTTAGAATCAACAGCTTGGATAGTATTCATTTGATGCCTGACAGCTTTTAGTACATTGTCTTTTAGATTTTGTAAATGCACTAATATACAAAGATTTCATCTCCTGTTATTAGTTACCTTAAAATGATGCAATGTGCAGAATCATCCTTTAAATAAGTATCACCCATTGATGCACTCATTGGCAGTCTATTAGGTACACCAAGCTAAAACTAAGTCAATCTAATACAACAGTCGTACAATAAATCCTTCTTCATGAGGGTCATAATGCTATATTTTTGTTCAAAGTGTTTTAGAAATATGTTGATTCAACTGTATGGTCAAAAATAATGTAATACAATTGCCAACATGCAATGCTAAACGGTCCACATACTGTTTCATATTCATCTTTCTGGCAGGCAATAAAATGTCTCCAGATTTTATTTTATTTTTGTTTCAGAGTTTAAATTCCATGGAAGAATAATTAGTAGCTTACACATGCTGTAAAGTGCGCTAAAACATTTCATTTAATCTAGTTTGTTTAGCCATTACAAAAGCAAAGCCTAATGGTTAAGATGTGTATTACAGTGCATAACTACAACATCCACAGACCTTTGCTGAATGCCTTACCCCCTCTCTCCTCGTGTTTCCTATCTGTAGAATGTCAAAACGAGACAAAGCTACTGCACCCAGCTAAGAAATAGTGTGGAAGTGTTTATGCATTTTTATGCTTACACAGGTTTAACAAATGAGACAGATAACGTGGTAGTGAGTGTCAGGTGCTGGTAGGCAGAGCTTGTTACCGTTGAACACACCCAGGTTAACTGTTTCACACTGTTTCAGTCTTTATGCTAAGAAAAGCTAACAGGTTGATGGCTGTGCTTTTAGATCCACTGTACAAAAGAGAGAGTATCAATCTTCTTATCTAAGACTGGGCAAGGAAACACAAGCTAATTTTTCAAAACGTCAAGCTATTGCTTAAAGATACTGGCTTACAAATGCTTGCATTTCAACAACCCCAATTTGCCTTAGTGTAGCAAATAATTATTGTTATCAGATTATGCTCATTTTCCCTATTTGTAATGCCAGACATTTCACTAACTTTACAAGTCCATTATGCTACCTGGTCTATGAACTTTTAGAAAGACTTTGTTTCCTGGCATGATATGGCTATAACCTACTCAGCCCAGTTGACTGCTCCTGCAGATAAAGTAAACACAGATGTCATCATAAATTTTATGTACAAATAATGTACACATTTATTGTAGTATGCATTGCCTTGACCCTTTAACAAGGTGCTCCCAGAAGCGAGGGCCCTTTAGCTGGACTGACTCAGAGAACCTGTCATATACTTCTGGTTAACCAGGTCAACTATTTACATACACTGGCGTGGTCTGAAAACCAGCCACACGCCGAAGCAGCTCTATAGATAGTAAACAGTAAATATTTCTACTGTTCTGGGCTACAGTATGTCTATACATATAAATATCTGTGCTGCGATGTCACTGTATGCTTTAGATTACTGGCCTACACAGTGTGGCTGAGTTAAGGTAAATCTCAAATGAAGTTTGGTCTTAAGTTCATTGAATTTAACATTTTTTTGCTAATGAATGAATACAGTGTATGTTACAGAATGCATATGATCATGTCTCGGTGCATCTGACTACTTAAACCCATGATAAATCCTTTAGGTGATTGAGGGCTGTGTGGCCTGCAGGAGTTGTGGCCGTGTGTCCACATGTCTTCATAGTGTGAAGCGACAACACATGATGCAAAGGGCTGGCATCACTTCAGCTGGAATCTTTGATTTACGGCCTGTCATGCAGTGGCATCCACCGATCACTTTGGAGAAAGAAAAACACACCAAGGTCAGTCTTCGAAGAAAGTTCATTAGTAAAAAAATTTCCAAAATTGAAATTTTATCATAAAATAACTACTTTCTGTCATTTTCATCATATCACCATGTGTTTAGTTTTACAGACAGGCTTGCAGCAAAGCTGACATTTTCTAAGTAAAACATTATATAGTAGTTTCCTGAACTGATATTTTTTTTTGGGGGGG